CTCTCCCTTACAAGCAATTTACCGATGCCCCCTGCCGGTTCTCTACCTTACAAGCAAGTTACCGATGCCCCCGCCGGCTCTCTACCTTACAAGCAGTTTACCGATGGCTCTGCCGGCTCTCTCCCTTACATTGATTGTTACAAGCTATTTACCGATGGCCCTGCCGGCTCTCTCCCTTGCAAGTAATTTACCGATGCCCCCGCCGGCTCTCTCCCTTACAAGCAATTTACCGATGGCCCCGCCGGATCTCCCCTGTAATTCCCCAACGTCCCTGTCTACTCTCTTTCACACAGTGTGGCGAGGAGATAGAGATGCATGCGCACAAGCAATGACTGTAAAATTAATTAATTAGTTACGGCCTGTTTTAAAGCCTGCCCCCCATCCTCCCTCCTCCACCCTCCTCCTCCTCCTCCTCCTCCACCCTCCTCATGTGTTTACTCATTTACTCGTTTGCTTGTTTACGTGTGCCTGCGCATTTTCTTCTTTAGTTGTTTACTTGTTTACTTGTGTTGTTTACTTACCTGTAGGCAGGCATGAAAGGCAGGAGACGTGAAGTTGACTATCACAGAGTTGACACAGAGGAAGATACCATCCACAACCTTCTCTGAGAATCCGTACTTTCCGTTTGGGCTGAAAACACGCAATATTGCAAGATTACAGCAAGCCACCTTCGCAAAATGTGACAAACAAATAACAGTGGCAATTTTACTACAATAAGCAACAAATACAATTACGGAATGATTTAACTGCTCACAAAAATTATGATTAAATAATGAGATCGTCAAATTGTGTCGTGTCGTAAAATGTTTTCGTACGCCTCTTTTCCCATGCCCATCACCTGTTTATGCATTGCTTAGCACATACGATAAAGTGAACAGTGGCTATATTTTTTAATTGGTAGCTAAAAAATAACTTTCGTGGCTCAAGTCTTTTGCTCAAACTTTTAAACCTTTTCAAAACTTAAAAATAACAGGCTGAACAGGCAGTGGTGGTGGCGGCGCGATACTTGCGTTGGGCGGCACTAGATGGCGTTACTTACACATAGTTTGGCAACTGGCTGGTGGGTGAGGGAGTCCTCAGCTCCTCACACGTCTGCATGTCAACGTGAACCTCGTCAAGAAACTGTGGAAGAGCAAAAAAACAATCACCATCATCGTCGCCATGACGACGAACTAAGCCGCACACTGCAGGAGACAAACGAACCGCCTCACTGGTCCATTACCCTAGCAACTAAGCTTTCCTCTGCTCTGTTGCCACAGTAACTAGGCTTTCTCACACTATTGTCATAGCAACTACGATTTATTGCTCTGTTACCCTAGCAACAAATAATGCGTGCGAAGTAGGGAGGCAGGGACAATTCTCTATTATATCGCACACGAATGCAATACCGGTGGGGGGGGGGTGGGTCGGTTCGAACCTAACCCGCGATGCCACAACGCCACGAACTTAGTGATCAACTCATGGGAAACACCGCGAGTGTCCTTTATACACGGGTGGCCGCTCCATAGAGGTGGATTCACCGTATAGTACGGCTGCCACTCGAGGGAGAAATGACAAGTGCACTTTATAGACAGTAGGTACGTAGTTCTGTAGAGGTGTTCGCTAAGACAGGATTGACTGTACGTCTGTCATACTCGCTAGAATCTCTCTTTCTCTCTCTCTCTCTCTCTCTCTCTCTCTCTCTCTCTCTCTCTCTCTCTC